ACTATTGTATTAATTTATATCAAAATTAAGATTAAGAGTAATGTATAAATTAATGATTTACCAATATATTAAAGCTTGTTCAACTGCACAAGTCACTAGCATATGAAAACTTCCCGGATTAACTATAAATAATTAAATGATGACATTAAATAATTTTATCTATATAAATTAATAATAAAGAACTAACCTTTACTCGTAGAAGAAGAGAAAATACAAATTGAAGTTATGGAACTTGGAAGTACAACTGAAGATGACAACTCTTCTACTTGAACTATTATCATTATTGTATCATAAAAGATGTTTTTTGAAACAAAAATTTAAAATTAATAATCAATAGACAATATTACAATTAATTAGATTAATTATTATCCATTATAATAAATTATTTATTAATTATCACCATAATTTCCAGTAGTTAAATCTTTTTTCATTATTGATAGATAAAGAGTTCCATTTTGACAGCCTGCAGCAATAATTTTTATATCATGAAATTCTTTAATCTCAAGAGATAATACACTAAAACACAAAATGGTAGAGATTTAAATTATTATGGAAAAAATCATTTGCTTATCCAATCTATAAGATTGTTGGATTAGATTTAAATCAAGATTGTATTAATGAACTTATTATAGTAACTCAATATGGTGTTCATGTATTGCAGGTAAATGAATTTTCTTCTTCACTCCTCTTTGCTTTTTTAAATGGTAAAGATATATTTATTGTCTATTTTTCCAGCCAAGATTAGATAAGGCAAAGTACATTCTATTTAAAAAATTTAAACATTTATTTATTTTATGGAAGGTTCATTATATAGAGAGTGAACTGTAGCAAGTGAGAAACTATTAATAAGAATCCATCTACTTTTATTTGTGTTTACTAAGATTATAAGGAGAAATTAATTATTATTATAAAAAAAAGTGAAGTTTGTTATATATAGAGATTTGCTTGGTGTTTGTTATAGAGAGGGTAAACTGTATATACAAATATGCGTATTTTATTTCTTCAATAATGGGAAAGTATTATATTAATATAAAGCTTTACTATTATTTATCAAAGGATATGTAAGATCACAAAATTTAAATAAATAAATTCGAATACATATGTTTGTACATCATGCAAAAAAGAAAAATACATAAAAAACTCTTTAATTTAAATTTATAATTCAAATGAATTTTATTATGTATGTAACATGAAGATCTTCTACTAAAATGTAAATGTGACAATTGCAAATGTTGATCAAAATGGAATTTCCACTATTAGTCGCGGGACATTGCAGATCAAGTGTCATTCAATATAGACGTTACACGAAAAAATTTATTGTCATCCACTTCAAAAAAAAATCTCCATTTTTCATATAACAAGCAATTTTCAACCATGATATAATTTTTAGAGCCATACTGGAACTTTCTAATAACAGTTAAAAGAAAAGGTTAGTTTAAATATTGGTTATTCTATGCTAGGTCAGAAACGTTTCTTTTCTTCACACTTATTTTAAGATTTTCTTCCAACTATGGTTGGCTCGGTCTAAAGACCTCCTATTGCTGCGCCACGCGCTCAAATTTCAAAAATTGCAATTTCGTGATTTGTTCAAAAATGCAATAAATTTTTTTAAAAAAGGGTACACATGATTTTGGTCAAAAAAACTATTTTCCTTACTGCCAAATTTAGATATGATGGTAGAGTATTAGGCTAAATTTAGGAATGATAATCAAATACTAGTCTAAATTTAGCAATGATCCTAGTGCTCAAATTTCTCATGAGCATAGTAAAGTACATGTTTTAAAAAAGAATAGATCTCTACAATAAATAATTTTTTGGAGAAAATCTCTTCATTACATTAAAGGTAGAAACCTATTTTACCAACTAATGAGGCTATTTTTTTAAAAGGTAGGGCAGAAAATGACTTCTATACTTTTAAAATTTGCCCAAAATTTAGGAGGTCTTTAGACCGAGCCAACTATATATAGGAGATATAGAATTTTTTGATCTTATTTGATATAAATTATTGTGTAACAACATTCGCATTGAATAGACAGAATTATAATAATAGTATTTAATACTTAGTCATAAACAATTGCCTAAGCAATTTATTTTGCCATAGATTTGAAGTTGATTAAGCTTTGATGTATATAGTCTCAATTTCATGAATTATATAAAATTTATTTTGAAATAAGTTTTATTAAGGAAGCTTATATTTCCAGGAAATTAGTAGATTAATGCAACGAGATCTACTATTAGTAAGGGTGGAGGAAATCTTTTTTTTTTATTGGAAATATTTGTTATTATGAATATTATTAAACATACAGTATATATTTTTATAATATATATTTTTTAAATGATCTGTTTTGTAAAACTCTTAACAGGTAGAGTAAGCTGTCACTATAGAGGACATGTTTATTGGATTATTAATATACATTCATGGAATTACTCTGCCAAGATAATGATCATTTAGCATATGTTTATTTTTACTTATTTATTGATTTTTTAGAGATTTTTTTGTGAATTTCCAAAAAAATTAAAAAAAAAGAATTCAATTATTTGAAGGGCCTTTTTAATGTTAGGCGAACATGTTATTTGGTATGTTATTCCACACATGTATTATTAAGTTTGCCAGGTAATGGTCATTTGGCATGTTTATTTTTACTTGATGATGATTTTTTTTAAAAAAAAATTTCCAATTAATTAAAGAACCCTTTTAATGTTAGGTAAAATTTTTTGTAAAATTTTTTCATTCATTTTTAATGCAATAGCACTTCAGCTGCTTGCTTTTTATGATACTAATTAAACCTGGATATCCATGACTTAATTTGTTGAAATATTATTGAATTCAATTTCATTATTTTCAGTATATGATTAAAGATTTCTTAACATATTTTTAGCTGATATTTTTGATTTTTTCTACATTACCAGTTAAAAACATTTTCTTTGATTTTTCAACCACTTCTAAATTAATTCTTTTGCCACCACCTTTTTTCCCAAATATTTGTTTGCTTTTCAAAGCAAATCCAGATTTAATATGCAATAAGGAAATTTAGTGATTCAGCAGAAATTTACAATTATTATGGTGAACTGTTGGTTGAAAGCGGTGATATTTTTCATATTAATATCATTATCATCCAATAGCATTAAGTTATATAATAAATCATAACTGCTATGTTGGTCTAGCCTTTCTTTGATAACCAATTTATTCTCAGGTGAACCCAAATTCTTATCTTTAAGGATGAATCTTACTTCTGAAGTTTTCAATTTCTGGATGGATGGGTTAATTTGTGTATAGTCATTTTCCATTCTGATTGAGGTATTGTTTGGGTCACTGATTATAGCATTTGGTTGACTTATATTATTGTTTTTGAGAAGTTTTTTTATATCAAATATTGAATAAATTTTTGGTGATCCATAATTAGGTATTTCATAGGCTTTTATAATTCCTTCTTCTACATCAGTTGGCCACATAAAAGTAAAATAATTGGAAATTCCTGTAATGGTCCCAACTGATATTTTTTTTACTATGATCTGGAGTTAATTTTCCAACTGAAGTGAAGTACCTGCAAGAGATTCATTAGAAATTACAATATCTTCTCCACTAAAAATGCTATGGCCTAATTTTGGTTTATCTAATAAATCCATGAGATAGTTGTGCATGGTGAGAATATACAATGGACCTGGTTCCAAAAATTTCTATTTTGTTATATTCAAATTATACCATTTTTTCCAATAACCAGCAATCACCATTGATTCTGAATTATGGTAATGTCCACCATTATCAAAAAATATTTTAATTGAATTTAATGTTTGCATCTGGCTTTGTTAGTCGTTCTAGAACAACATCAAATGCTAATGCAGTAAACCAAGCATCTTGTTTAACATCATCAGACCAATGGTCAAATGCTCTTTCATAATTATTTTTTGATTTGGTAATTACTAGAATTGTATGAAGAGTCCAACCTTCTTTTCCATAAAAATTATTTTTTTGTTCCACAACGACTTATAGGATTAACCTTCATTTTGTAGTCATAAATTAACACTGCATCAACATGTCTTAATTCATGTAATTCAGCATTAAATTGTGAATTTAAATATATCCCATGCAATTGATGGGATAAAAGTTTATTCTGATCAGGGCTGGTAGTGTAAAGGAGTTAAAAACCTAATTTAGTAATCATCTTGACTAAACTTGACTAAACTTGACTTAAAATATGACTAAATAGTTTAGTCAGTTTAGCCAAGTGCTCATTTGAGTTATGCAGCCAGCCCTGATTCTGGTATTCCTCTAATATTTCTATGTTAATTATAGAAGTTTTCTTAATTTCATTTAAAACTGTAAATAAAGACATGCAATTATTGCATAAAGAATTATGCTCTTCTGTGCATTCTCCAAAAGCATAAAGAAGACAATGATTTAAGCAAGAATCATGTTCAAGAAGCCCATTATTTAAAACCATTATTTCACCATCTAATTTGCTTTTTAAATGTCATCCAAGTAATTCTATTTTATTAATCAAATTATATTTTTTTCTGTTTCATATAACTGTGATTCAATCAATAAATTAAAAACCTGATACTCACAAGTTATGCACAAACCATCCAAATCCTTTCTATATTTAAATTGACAATCTAATCAACACATGAAACTTGTTCTTTTCAAACCATTGTATTTTTCCCACTTTTCTTTATTTTTATCATATGGTTGGCTCGGTCTAAAGACCTCCTATTGCTGCGCCATACGGCCAAATTTCAAAATAGCAATTTTGTAGTTCGTTCAAAAATGGAATAAAATTTTTCAAAAAATAGGACTTCACGTGATTTTAATTTTCTTACTGCCAAATTTAGATACAATAGTCAAGAGCTAGTCTAAATTTGGTAATTTTTTCTAAATTTAGAAATGATCATAGTAGACAAATTCCTCACGAGCATAGTAAAGTACATGTTTTAAAAAAGAATAGAACTCTCCAACAAATAATTTTTTAAAAATAAAGACATATTCTATCAACTAATAGAGCTATTTTTTTAAAAGGTAGGACAGAAAGTGACTTCTATACTTTTAAAATTTGCCCAAAATTTAGGAGGTCATTAGACCAAGCCAACTATATAGAAAAGTTTCTAAATCTCTCAATTGTTCATCAGATAACTTTTTTCTTATCATTTACATATGATCTTCTAAAATTGGTCCTCCACTTCCATACAATTGTGCAGCATTAATTAAATTATTGCTGACTATAAGTTTTTCATTTAATTATGAAAATTTTTCAGCAATTATGACAAAATTCTTCATTGACCATCATTGCCTTTTATATTTGAACACATTGCATCTTTAAAACATTTCCAAAAAATTTTTACATCTGAATCAGAATCCAATTCTTGTTGTAAAATAATTTAGGTTTGTCTCAGTAAAAAGATCCAATGTTTCTAAATCTGCTGCAGTATCTCCAGCTTTTGTCCAATATTCATTATTTTTGTAAATTTTATTTGTTTGCAACCAGATGCATTCAATAATTGTCTCCAAGCTGGTTTTTTCTTAAACCGAAATTGGCTGAGCCTTGGCATTTTGAAAATTCCGAATTTTGTTATACATTTAAGAAATTGAGACTAAGTAAATTTCGTGTAACAACTTTTTTTCATAGAATATTTTCTACAACATACATTTGATTTATTGATTTATTTATTTCCTTTTTTTTATTAATAAATAAAAGTTCTTTACAACAAAAAAGTTTAACGAACAAAAGAAAATCATTAACAAATTTGGTCGTGAGATTCAAAATATCGTAACACGAAAATTATTGTTGCATAACTTTCAAAATTAAAAAATCTATGAAAAGAAAATTCGAGACAAACTTTTTTTTAGATTAAAGCTAAATTGAATGGTGGTAGGTTTCAACTTTGAGTATAGATGATCCGCACTGTAATAGTAAACGTTATTATTATTAAATGTGTATCTTTTCCTTTTTTAGTAAGATTAACTATGACATTGTGATATCGAATAATATTCATGTTATTTGAATATCAGTCACATGAATGATATTTGGACAATGTCCGAATAATTCCGAATGAATACAAACATTACTAATGACCTCCTGTTGCTGCGCCATACATTCAAATTTCAAAAAATTGCGATTTCATAATTCGTTCAAAAATGCAATAAAACTTTTTTTGGTTTCACGTGATTTTGGTTAAAAAATTATATTCCTATTGCCAAATTTAGATATAAATGTCGAGTATTAGTCAAAATTTCGTGATGATGACCAAAAACTAGTATAAATTTAACAATGATCCTAGTGCTCAAATTTCTCATGAGCACATGTTTTAAAAAAGAATAGAACTCTACAACAAAGAATTTTTTTGAGAAAATCTTTTTATTACATTAAAACTAAATACATATTCTATCAATTTATAAAGCTATTTTTTTAAAAGATAGGACAGAAAATGACTTCTATACTTTTAAAGTTTGCCCAAAATTTAGGTCTTTAGACCGAGCCAACTATATAAGTTTGAGAAAATAAAACATGTTCACAATTAGACCTTTCTAAGAATGTAATGTGATAACCATCTGAGGGCTCTGATTTATCATATGAAGCATTTACAACAAACATTTTAAACTTTCCTTCATTGATAATAAATGGAAAAAATGTGATCAGATATTTTTTTAACTGTAAATCATTACCCATTCCAAAAAAAATCAGATCCATTCAATTTCTATATACAAAGTTGTGAGAATGATCTGATATTTTTTATATGGATTATTAACTACTATTGACATTTCATTAATTTATCCCCGATAACAATTATATTCAGGCTTATTATTTTTCCTTTGATTAACTAATGTACAAAAAATCAGAGCTTTGGGACAATGAAGTATTTTTAAATGCAATCTAATAGGATAAAATTTTTTTATATATGTATTTGGGTCTAATTTGCTTTCCCACCAGAATTTTGCAAATGGACCATAATTCAAAGTACTCATAATAGATCCAGATTCAATAAAATTTGAATTAAATTCAATTGACATTTTAAAATGATGATTTGTTTAACTTTGCACAGAACAGAATTTTTTTTAAAATATTTATTGTGTAACATGATCCCCCTTTTTTTATCGATCAATATTTATTTATTACATCCGAAATTTGCCACCGAAAATATATCGTTTAATGCTAAATAAAAAAAAAAATATTTAGGTCTGTCGTATTTTTTATTAATATTATTAATATTATTAATGGAAAAGAGATATTTTATTTTTGGTGACCAGTCGCATTTATTATTATGAAAAAATTTTTGCCGTATTTAATTTATTATTAATATTATTAATATAAAAAAAAATTTTTTTTGGTGACCTGCCGTATTTTATTATTAATTCGAAAAAAAATCATGTTTTTTTATTGTAAATTTTTTTATCATTTGTTTCGATTCAGAGGAAATTATCTTGCATTATATCTTTTTTCCAAAAGAAAAAACCGTTTTTTTTAAATTGTAAAAACGTTATTTCCTTATTGAAAAAAATCTGGTGATTTTTATAAATTCAATTTAAATAATAAAGTTCGTACGATGACTTTCTCTCTATTACTATAATAATAATGATTTAAATATCTTACTCTAAGATTTAATTAAATTTCTGTATAATAATAATGGGTTCGTATCATGTATCACATACCTAAAAATTTTTAAAAAAAAATTACGGCAAACTACGCGATTAATTGTGTAACAGGTATGTAGAATATTCTTTTTGTCGATCTTTTAATATAAAATTTCCCCCCGTATTTTTATAATAAATTGATCATTCATAGACGGATCATTATCAATTAATTTATCTACGTTACATCTAAATAGGCAACTCTATATTAACTTTAATTTGATATAACAATTGTTTGTAAAAATTACCGAAACTGAGTATTATTAATGATAGTGATAATTATTACCGAAACTGAGTATTATTAATGATAATGATAATATTGTCATTATAGATTACTTTTTTACATATCACTGTATATACCAGGGTTATTACACGTGGAGCATGAAATATTAGAAAAACCAGGTGGTTGCTGAATTTAAAATATTAACACGTAAATGACATCATTTAACGACCGTTATCGACTTTTAGCCATTGACGCAATTGTTTCATGTTTTATTACCCAATGACTGGTTTTTGTATGTCTGACTATGAAAATTCGAAAATTTTCAGATGAAGATATCGGAATGTCCAGACATGAAGTTTTGTAATGCTTAGATTGCAAAGATACACAATAACGTGTCTTAGGATGTCTCATTTCATAAGATATGTCGAATTCTCTCTCACATAGATTATTCTGTAGGATTCGATCTAACCAATTTTTGAATCACATGTCACATTATGGAAAATTATTTTTCCAATTACTGTTTAAGTTAAATTCAATTTTTAGCGTCATCTTTATCTTTTAGATTATTATTTGATTATCCCCTATTCAAGAAAATCGCAATAACCAAAATTTTTTATTAAATAATTTCGCAAGAAACTTAAAAACAACATATCAATATTCAATCATTTTCTTTCTTTATGAATGTTTGTTTTTACTCTCATTTTAATAAATTAATTTCCTTTTTCCCAATGATTAGTTGTTTCTTAAAAAAACAACTATTCTAAACATCGAAAGTTTTAAATATTCGTGCAATCAATAAAAAATAAATAATATATTTTATGCAACACATGGATCCTGAATTATCATTATATATAGATAAAGCACAACTTAGAGATGATGAAACTCGCCTCATATTCAATCCTCCTTGCAAAATTTACTCACAGATCACCGAATTTATTTCAGCTAATCCCAACAATGTTGATTCCATAGGTATCCCAAAATCGCAAAACTGTTTTTTTTTATACCGCAAAAATTACAATGCAAAACATAAATCTCATAGGAGCAAAAAGGATTGGAAAATTCTTTCAAAGGAAGCTGGTAATGCCTGGCATAATGAATCTAACGAAGTAAAAAGTTATTTTAAAGTATTAGCAAAACTAGCTTTTCAAAAAAATAAACTAAGTTATGAAAACCTACTACTAAGAAATTGTATTTTTATTGTCCAACAACCAGGGCTACAACATAAAAAAATAGATAACAATGGTTCTGCAGTTTCATCATCACCCGATCCATATTTTTCTTCTTTATCTTCTACTTGTTATTACTCAAAATATAATGCTAGTTCACAACCAAAACTACAACAAAAACAAACAGATAATAACGATCATGAACCTTCATCATCTTTACTTTATCCATCTTCCACTTTTTCTTGCACGAGTAATAATACAAGCTTGCCTCATTTTATGACTCAACAACCAAATAATAACGATTATCCAACAACAACATCATCACCATTTCATCCACATTCCAGTTTTTCTTACACAAGTGATGATACAAGCTCGCCTCGCTTTATGACTCGACAACCAAAACTACAACAAAAACAAAAAGATAAAAATAATACCGATTGTGCAGTTTCACTACCATCATCTCATCCACACTCCAATTTTCCTTACACAAGTGATGATACGACCTTGCTTCATTTGGCAGCTCAACAACCAGAAGCACAACAAAAACTAAAAAATAATCTTCATAATAACAATTGTGCAGTTTCTTCACCATCTCATCCACATTCTACTTTTTCTTGCGCAAGTGACAATACAAACTCGCCTCATTTTGTAGCTCAAGAACCAAAAATGCAACAAAAACAAAAAAAAGATTTTTGTGATGATTGTGCAGTTCCATCATCATCACTTCATCTGCATTCTACTTTTTCTTGCGCAAGTGATAATACAAGCTTGTCTCATTTTATGGCTCAACAACTAGAACTGAAACAAAACCAAAATGAGAATCTTCATAATAACGATCGTGCAGTCTTATTATCACCTCATACATATTCTACCTTTTCTTACAAAGATGATAGTATAGTCTCGCTTCATTTTGTGACTCAAAAATCAGAAATAGAAGAAAATCAAAAAGATAAGAGAAATAATAACGATTATGTAGTTTCACCGTCGCCTTATCCACATTCTAGTTCGTTCGATTTTAATACTAATGCTGATTGGAATACAATTATTGACTACTTCCGATTTTAATATTAAGGAAAACATGAAATATAAATGTATGAAATATGAAACAAATGTAATAGATAAGATAGCTTGTTGTAATGACAATATTGCTTTAATAGCATTTTTAAAGAGCAAATTTTATGAATATACCATTTCAATAATTTTATCTGTTTAATCGAATTACTTGATTAAAAGGTAAAGTAATTAAGTTTGTTTTTTTAATTTTCAAACAAATTTACTGTTGTTAAACAAAACAACTGTTCCAAAAAACATATTTTATTTTACTTTCTTTCATGTAACAGTTATTTAATTTTAGTTAAGATGTTAAATAAAAAAAAATTCGCAATAAAGCCAAAAGTCCACCTAGTTAAGATGTTACAATTCTAGTTAGGTGTCTAAATTGTTTTAGATATGCCTTATGTCAAAATATTTAGATGAAATGTCTATTACTAAATAATATAAATACAACATAGTGGAAATTCTATTTACGTCACAATTTGATGATTGTTTAAAGTAGAGATCGGCACCGTTAACGTTAACCAGTTAACAGTCACAGGACATGTCACGCAGATCAATAGGGAGTTGTAAAACATAGTAAAATTTTGATGATCTGCATCATAGTAAAATTTTACAATCAAGTGACTTCTAATCCCCATTTAATACCCTTGCTGTGTAGCAGCCACCGCCAAATTT